CTCAGTGTCTACTTTTTTGTAATGGAAGAAATGGATTCACTTTAAATTCCAATCATTTTAAAGACAAACTTAGCCCACTTAAATCAGTCTGCAGAGCCAAAATAAAAAATAAAACAGGTGCCACAAAGCCAAGCCACCTGTCATCTTCTTTTTTTTTTTTTTTTTTTGGTTTTTCTGGTTTTTCTCTGGTACTGGGAACTGAACTCACGACCTTGCGCTTGCCAGGCAGGCGCTTTGCTGCTGAGCTAAATTCCCAGTCCCTGTCATCTTCTTTAGTCAATCCAATAAAGGCCAATATTCCAAGCCCCAAATAATGGGCTACTGTAAATATACCTCTTTAATTCAAATAAATACATAAATAAATAAAGACAAACTTTTAAGCATTTGTGGCCCATACTGGCTATTACCCTCATACATGCATACATCCTCCACATTGTCAATCACTAGCAGAACACAAATATCATCATTAGGAAGAAGGGTTTAATCTGGATTTTTAGTTTGCTACTCCAGAATCAGAGGGTGAAATAAAACCAGCCTACACCAGCATGGGGCCTGGGCTGTAACAGTAGGCATGTGGCCCAATTTTGTCTATGTACTCTGAGTCAGATGGACTTGTCTACAAAGAAGGCCATTCTTCCCTGATTAAAGGAGGAAAAGGTCAGAAGGAGAGATAGTCTTCCTCTTTGGGTCCTGCTGCTTTTGCTCTGATGTTGTTCCCATCAGATACCTGCAGATGAGAATGTAGTGATAAATTTAAATGTCTGTGGAGGAAGCTCTGCTTGATAGACATGGCTCAAATGTCACCATAGTGATAGGCAGTGTCATTCTGATCTATATCTGCACACACAGAAAGTCCCATTCATATTCAGACTTCTTCAAGGGAGGCTTAGTTACTTGCAGCCAAATGCAGTCTTCACTGATATAGCATCAAAACCTTCTTTTAGAAGAAATTTCTTGCAAAATCCTAACATGGGAAACAAATAAAAATATCTGGGGTACATCAGAAATCCAGATAGGAGTGTTTCTAAAGTCATTCCCTCCAAAATTTCTTGAAGGATTCTAAAACCAGAACTGGTCAGGAACTGTACCTCTTAACATATAGTCCCCATGGCATCAGCGATCCTCAGAGATTCCCAAGGATCTGGGAGTTCTCTACTTAAATTCTTTTAATTGTTATTTAGATGAAGTCTGTTCTCTGAACTAGAGGCCTGCTTTAGGGATAAAGGCTCCTACCACAGTTGTATGCTCATCCTGGCCCCTGCGATCCTATTCTTATGCTCATGAATAATGAGATAATACCAAAATAGCACATTTCTCAGGTTCAGGTCAAGGACATCATGGCACACAAGTGAAAGTAAACTTCAAGAGACAAATACCTCTCCAGGACACATATGTATGTAAGTACTAAAAATTAAAGTAATCTCCAGGTAACTATTGTGACTTTGTTTAGGTTATAAGCTTTCTTAATCTCCAGCAAAGCATCTTCTACCTCAGGCTGTTGTTAATAATCTGAATATTATATATTTTCTCTGTATTTAATTTATAAATTTTCTTGTTATAGTTGATAAAGCATATATTTTGTGAGACTAGACACATGGGGGTGTTACAAAATATCTAAAAGAATAATTTTTAACTTTCATGTGAAGACATGATAAACTGTTAAAGGGATAGATATGTTAATTAGCTCAAATGAATCTTCCTGTACTGTGTATACAAGTTTCTTTTCAAAGCACGTTTTACCCTTTAAACACACAATTACTTGTCAATTATATTTTTTAATTCAGAGGATGATAAAAGATTGAATAAAGAGGTAATAAATGGCTGAGTTTTCCCTGTTTGTACATATTTTAAAAACAATTAAGCCAACCATGAGATAGAGATCTTTCTTTACCTATTAAAATATGTATGTCATTCAAAGTTAAGAAATACTGAACTTGAGGACAGCCCAAATCCCTTCCAGCTGCTCCAATCTGTGGTTGCACAAACTTTCCCATCTTATAAAACCAGGGTCACTTTCATTAATGTGGTAATTAATTTTATTTGTCAACTTGACTGTATTAAGGGATTCTCAGATAGCTGGAAAACATTATTTAGAGGTAAGTCTATGAGGACATCTCCATAAGACACCAGCACGTACATCAGTAGACCGAGAGAACATGACCCTCACCAGTGTAGGTAGGCATCATGCATTCAGTTGAGGGTCCCAATAGAGCCAACAGGCAGAGGAAAGGCAAATTCTCTTTCTGTCCTTGAGATGGCACATACTCTTCACATTCCAGAGCTTACATCAGTGCAGTCCCTACCACCTTTCTTACTGCTGCTTCTTCAACCCTTAGATCCCCTACTACTGTCGGAGTTCTGCCATCACTCTCCCGGTGTCCAGGCCTTCAGGCCTGGACTGAATGATACCACTGGACTTCCTGTGTCTCCAAACTGCTGATTATTGTCATGGCATCTCTGTTGTGTGAGCCAATAACCATAGTAAATTCCTCTTTTATGTATTCTATGTAGCCTGTTGGTTTTGTATCTTTGTAGAACCTGCGTGCAACAAAAATGCAGTAATTGCCCTTGGAGATTTTTATTTAGATAAAAAATAAAAATCAAAGAAATTTCTTCATCAGAATAAAGCAGAACAGTGCCATGTTCTCCTCCAAAAGTTTGTCTTAATAAAATGACCACAGGCAGGATTTTGAGCAACAATCTTTGCTGGCTGTGGTCACTCACCCGCTCCCACCTGGTCCCTTCACTCAATGCCTCCAGTGGGAATATCTCCCCAAGAAATAAGTACCAGTTAAAAATAAGGCCTTAAGAACCTGCTCCCTCCCTGTTTGGGAAATCTGAGCCCTGGGGTAGGGCTACTCTAAAATGTGCTTTCTGATTACTTCCAGAAGCCACAGCACAATCTGCTGACCACCAGGTCTCTCACTGTGAAGAGAGGAAGAAAATCTTTTGCAGTGGGGTCGTGGTTTATTTGCACACTTCGAGCCCAACAAGTCAGTGCCCTGTGCTTTGCTGTTTCCAGAAAGCATGCCGGGGTGCCAGGCATATAGCTCAGTGGCACAGTGCCTGCCTGGCAAGCCTGAGGTCCTGAGTTCAATTCCTGGTATGTGCTCCACTCCTGCACAAACATCTCCTCCCTCTGCCCGCCCTGCCCATTCTGCGGTGCGGCCAACCTTCTTTTCTGACTGCCTCCACCTCTGCCCTGGATTTCTTTTTCCTTGTCCTCTTCACTACTTTTTTTCCTCTCAAAAGGAGTTTGGTTTTTCCCTCCTTTATTTCTAACAGAGAGAAACACAGAGCTTCTTCCAAGTTCCTGACAACCTTCTCCATAATCCTGCAACCTGGATCCAGTTGCTATTTCATGCCTCTTTTTGCTGAACACTTGACAGGCACTAAATTTAGAGGGGTATGACATTTGAGCTCACTGAAGCCTCCTTTTTCACTGGCAGTGGGCTTGGCTATAGTTCATGTCAGTTCTTCCTCTGCACTGGCATTAGGGAAAAAAAGTCACAGTCTACCCTGACTTCTAAATGCACTGCCTGCTTTGTAGGGAACCCTGCAGTTCTCTAGCCTCTGCACCCACCCCAGCCTACCACACCGATGAACTTAATAAACTCTTGTGAGCTATAGTTAGAACAAAATATCCTATTCCCAGTCACATGCCATTCCCCTCCTCCAAGTACAACCGTCTGCAGAAAAAATAATTGCTGGCTAACAATTCAGATCTTCTCCTAATAGGAAGAACTCCTAGCTACCCACCCTAGTTGTACACTGAGGAAGAAGATACCTCAGCCATACCCTCCATCCACCCCTTAAACTCATGGTCACTATGAACCACATGTCAGAGATTTCAGAATGCTGATGAAAACTCACACCTGTTTTCACAGAAATTCCAAAAGGTATTAGATAGACCATAGATAGGCCAAAAGGTCTAGTCACTAGCAATAGTGAAGTTTATATCTGAGCTGGACCAATCCCTTAAACTTTACTCTACTACCTTGTGTACATTTTAAATACTAAATACCTGATATGCTTAAGGAAAAAACTTTTAAATGGAAAAAACTTTTAAATACTAAATACCTGATATGCTTAGGGAAAAAAACTTTTAAATACTAAAATACCTGATATGCTTAAGGAAAAAACTAACATTGAAAAGGAAAACAGACTCCACCCATGCAGAAAATTATTTTAAATTTGATTTTTTAAAAAAGCATTATGTTCAGTTAGATGTAAAATAAAATAAATTGATCAATAAAGTGACACACCTGTACGTCTCCATCTTTTAATAATGATTGAGTAAATTACTGGTTTCTATATGGTCTTAGAACAATGACCAAAATGTAGTCTTGACAGGAAAACTGTAACTGTTCCACTGAAAAAGTAGCAAATGATTACAGAAGCAGAGTTACAATCCAGCACATTTCTAGACAAATAGACCACTGACACTCAAGCCTCACATAGTGATGGTGAAAATCCCATATAGACATAAGAGATTTCAGGAACCCGTACATGTATATCTGCTCCAACATGCTGAAAGTGTGATCCAAAATATAAACTTCCAACTCTGATTCCCTCCAAAAAAAAAAAAAAACGACAGCCATTTCCTTTTACAACACCCCCTTTTAAAATGCTTCTGAAGCAAAGGCACACAGAAAATCTCATGTAGAACTATGTTCACTGCCAGTGAATTGTCCTTGCATGCAGAAAGAAAAGTTACAGATGGTCGGAGCAGGGTGACAGCTCAGGGAGCCCGCATACTTTTCAGCATGCTGTTAGCAGCTAACTCCCAACTTTCAAAAGTGCCTCTGCCTTGCTGAAAATCAAGTCTTGAAGGGGGCTGGGGGAAGTAAAGATTAGTACTCCACACTGTTTAGAGGATTCACTTCTAACTTGTTAATTCACACACACACACACACACACACAGTCAGAGTGCTTCAGGCAAACCACAGGCAGAGAGGGCTTAAAAAGTGCGGAAACGCAAGAACGGAAAGGTGTCCTACCTCCTCCGCTTCACAAAGTGGCCGAAGGCAACCGCCTGCGGTCCTGGGTGTGCTGAGCAGCTGGGAAGCAGGCGGCCACTCAGCCTGCTGAGCGTGAGCAGGCCCTGCCTGCGTTCAGAAGCTGCCCCAGTCAGATTTTCCAGCTGCAGAACTGTAGCCAAGTCCCTGCCCATGCCTGAAGAATTTCCTGAACAGCATTCCCGTTCTTTTTCGGGCTGCTTTGAAACCGTACTCTGTCTATACTTCAGTCTGGCTTTAGCAAGCTGACTTGTAGCTACTGGGCTTTCTCCAGCGATCAACGGGAAACACATGTGTCAAGGGACAGCCTCTCTCCCTGCTCCCCGCCACACTGCTCATGGCGTCTGCTGGGCTCCTACTCACTCACGGCAAGGAAAGTGCTTTCAGAACGAACTGGGATATTCAGGGATTCTCCGCAGAGGCCCTGCTCTGGGATACAAGATGCTGGAGATAAGTCCTCTTTCCTCCCCTTTAAACTTACCCTGCCAGGCGGAGTCCCCAGCTGACCCTTTATCCCTGAGAGCTCTCCCCAGGCTTGACAGGGAGCTTAGTATAGCTGAGAGATATGAATTCTAATTTGATCTCCCTACCTGCCGCTTCCTGAGTCTTTGCTCAAACTTTCAATTGCTGGAGGGGGAACAATATTTTTAGCATTCCCAGACTGGTTTGGTTCTTCAGAGCTGTCCCCTCAACTGATGCGTACGCCTATCATTGCAGCACCTAAAAATAATGCAATTATTTTCCAGGCACTTTTGTTGCTCTCTGCTCTCTAACTGAGCTGGTCCAAAATGTAACATTTTACAGGTTATTACAATGTCTGTTATGGGACTGGGAAGCAGAAAGGAGAAAAGAATGGACCTTGAATCAGACCGCGTCCTGATTCTGAGCACCTGTATTTACTTCCGGTTGCTATCCGCTCAAGATGCCCCGTGTACCTTTGTGATTTACCTTTGACATTTCCCCTTTTCCATAACACAAGGGGAAATCTCAAGCCTCAGGAGGAAAGCACCCCTCTTTCCACACACTGAAAAGGTCCCATATTTTAAAAGCTGAAGCTAAGTTGTCAAGGTAACATTGCAGAAAAGAGATGATTTAAAGAGGGAGTAGTATTTGTTTTGAGTGTTTTCTCTCTTTTTGGTATTAATATTTTACTTGCAAAAATCACACCCCCCCAGCAACTGAAAAAAAAGGCTTGCCAGATTTTAAAAACGTTGTGTATTCCTAAGGGCCTGTTGTAAATAATAGGATTAGGTGGGATCTTGGGCTTAGCATGGAATTTTAGTGAGCACTTTCAGCAAGATTAGATTTTTTTCCTTGTGAAGCACTGTGTGTGTGTGTGTGTGTGTGTGTGTGTGTGTGTGTGTTGTACATCTACAGTCAGGATGTAATTATAGAATCAGAGAATTTTAGAATTGGAAGGAACCTCAGAGACCAGCCACTCCAAATTGCCTCAACCTTCATCTTACACAAGGAGACAGAAGCCCAGAAAGATGAGTAGCAGAGTTGCAAAGACAGTTAATGCAGAGCTGTGGCTAGAAAAGGCAATGGTTCTCTTCTACATGCTTTCTCTCTTTCAGCACAAGAGGGGAAAGCAATCTATCCACCCTTCAGCCAGGGCTTTCAGTCAGGCAGCCTGCATCTCATTCCTTTCCTTCTTACCAGTTATGGACTCTCATGAGTCTGCTTAACTTCTCTGCCCCTGGGTTTCCCCATCTGTGAAATAGGAAAAATGATAGAACTTGCCATACAGACAGTTTGAGGTTCCACTGAGATCATCCATGGAAATTGTTTATGATGTGCTCATCAACCAATTTTAATGAAGCAGAAATGAAGCACATTTTACTACAATGAAAATTGTTCTCTCTCATCTAGAAAGAGTACTACAGTAAACTGTTTGATTGGTTCGTTACATTTTCTGTTGCCTTACCTTTGCATCTCTATAATATAGAGATGTATAACTGTAAACACAGGAAAGTATCCTAAAGCCTTATTGGAACTTTAAGCCAGCCACACCACTAATTATTATTTATCCCCTGAACATAATACTAGAGTCTTTTGCTCAATGTTAACTCACAGGAAAGGAAAACAGTGAGATCAGATCTGCTGTCAGTTATGCGAGGCCAAACAGAGCGCCATTTGCAGAGCTGGACATTCCCTCCATACATGTCAACCTTAGGATTATAAAAATAGAAGACCATTAACCACTGCAATGCCTAGCTTTAAAAATTACAGTGTCTTAAATTAACAACAGCAGCAGCAAAATAAAACCTCACAAATTGAGAAAGAAAATGTTTGAGGGGGAAAAAAACAGCTGCTGTAAATACTAAAGGATCAAATTTCTATCTGTGCAATCCAGGGTTCCACAGCCTTTGTCTTACAGCCAATGGTACCAAGTGATTAATGAACCATTCACTCTGTGTTAATCGTGTTTGCTCTACCCATCTTCCTTCAGGCAAATAAAAGAAGTAGTTCAAGTAATTCTTAGTTTCCAATGATTTACAAATGTTTAGGCAGTCAAATAAAAAATCACTGAAAACACGAAGTTAAGATTTAAAGGAAAAATAACAGTGCTGTGATCTAAATCATCCCCGCTGAACCCCCAAAGTCTGTCTACTTGGCAGTCTTCATTGTGGTATCTGAAGAGAAGGACCTCAGTATGACATCACACTTCTAGATAACTAGCTGGAAATGCCAGGAGATAACTTATTTCTTTTCATGTTTAGATGAATTATCAAACACATGAAAGAAAGATCCAAAGGTTGTCATGTTATTCAATGTCACATATAAGAATTGTTTAATAGAATGTCCCAAGAAGTGTTTGAGGGGAATGTGTGAACTCACTGTTCACTATGGAATGCTGGTCCCAGACTTAGTATATCTATATGATTAACATGGGAGACATTTGTCAAGTACAGAGCAAAATAATTTATTCATAATTGTAATGGTTTGTGCCTGGATGTTTCCCCAAAGCCTCATGCAATCATGGGGACTGGGCTTTTCAGAGGTAGCTGAATCTAGAGTTTGTGATTGATTCATGGTTCAACGCTGGGATTAAGGGTGTGAGTGCTACACCTGCTCTAGGATGGGTAGCTTGCATATAATATAAGGGACAAAAAGAGCTCTCTCTCTCTCTCTCTCTCTCTCTCTCTCACTTTTGCTGTCTTCCCCTGCCATGAACTATTGCCTTTCTGCCATCTGCCTCCCTACCTTAGAGCCAGCCAATTATGGACTAAAACCACTACCGAGTGTGAACAAAATAAACCTTTCCTCCCTTAAATTTGGGCTCAGGTATTTTGTCTCAGCAATGAGAAAAGTAACTAAGACAACTGTAGAAAAAAACACTGTGACAGTACATTGTACTGTAGGACATCATTTGTTTTGTATCACACCTAGGAATCTCATGCTAACATTTCTTCATTAATATCTATAAATACTGAGCTCTTCAAGCACTCTTGGAATCAGTTTTACCATCATGCCAATTCTCTCATCACTTAGTGAGTCAGATAAAATTCTTGACCTTTAATCATGATTTGCAACTTTTTAAAAAGTATAATTTGGTACATGGCAATACACTTATCGCTAGCCGAGTATATGGCACGGGGTCAATGATCAAACAGTGTAAGCACTGCTAGTCTCCAATACTCTACTACTTGGTTTGCAGTTTTGCAAACGATACTAGAGATCACTCGACAGCCTCTTTCTTGCCACAGCTTGTCATCTTTGATGGTAGATTCTTGAATCTCCTTGGTATCAGCCACTCCTTCCTGCATTCCTTTGTAAGGGGTCACTTCTTTTGTTTTTTAAAGATTTCTCTTTTTTAGTGGTTTTAAAATTACCATGGAAATACATCTTATATACAAATCATATGGTTGCTAGTCACAAAGGCCCATTAAAAATTCTTCTGAGGATTATATGAGTCAGAAAACCTCATTCTTCCCTAGAATATAAACTCCATGAAGGCAAGGATTTTTTTTTGCCTTGTTTCTTGCCACTTTCCCAATGCCTAGGACTGTTATATAGTAGGTCTTCATATTTATCCTTTAAAGAAAGACCAACTTCTACTTACTTGAAATGAAGATCTCTATGTCATCCCTTTATAAAGAATCATTTTCACTGTTGTTTAAACATATCTGGGGCTATTGGATCCATTCTGTCTGAGACGGCTGACATTATGGCTGAGATTCTTTTTATCACCAGGTGTGACTTTCCTCTGGAATTAGTTCAGTTTGATTTATTTCCTCCTTAGATGTAGTATAGAGAGTTGAACAAACCATTCAGGTATGTCGGGTGTGATGCAGAGAAAGAAGGGATAGACCCTTCTCCTTCAGAAACTATAGTTCCTTTAATGCAGGCCCTACCACTGACACTAGATTTTTGCCATTGCCTTGGGTTAGTCTCAGACAAGCCCTCTTGGTTCCCTCTCTGCCATCAGTGCTACTTACCAAGCTACATGTCCTGCACTATTTACATCTGTGATTCTCAAGCCTACCTTTGCATTAGAATCACACTGGGAAGCTTTGAAATTGACTAGAACAGGGATTCAACAAGGGAGATTTTTGACCATATTGAAGTGGGAGGGCAAGGAGGAAATAATGTTTTTGTTCAAAAGCCCCTCAAATTATTTCAATCTGTGTCATATGTTAAAATTGTTAAATGGCAGATTCTGTTAAAGCATAAATCTAATTTTGCCACTCTGAATGAAATTCCTTACACGCCTTACCACCACATGAAAGGAAAAGGTAGCAACTATCAGACAGACATAAGAGCTCAGTGTGAGCTGGTTCCTTGCCTACCTCTTCAGTTTCATCACTGTTTCTCTTCCTGTCTTCTTAGTTTTTCAAATAAGTCCTATGCCTTCCCACTGGAGGAGCTGTGAGGAGCAAAGGTATTTTCTCTTCCTGGAAAAATTTCACTTTTTTTTCCTAGAAGTTACCCTCACTGGCATGCTTTCATCTATTTAACTCTTTTTTTTTGTTTTTTGTTTTTTTTTTTTTTGGTTTTTCTCCGGTACCGGGAACCGAACTCACGACCTTGCACTTGCCAGGCAGGCGCTTTGCCGCTGAGCTAAATCCCCAGCCCCCTCATCTATTTAACTCTTATTCAGCTTTCAAATTTATACTCTATCATCCCTTGCTCGAAGATTCATTGCTCTCTGAACAGTCTTCATGTTTTATGTGCTCAAGGACTGGCACTGATTACAGTTGTCAGTACATCCATATTGGTATTTTTGTGTGATTTGTGTCAGTTTTTCTGATGGACAATGAATATTCTCCTTGAGGACCGAAATTCCTCACACTATGCGTAGCTCACAGGAAATGAACAAGATATTTTTAAATAAGTGAATCCAGGTTTTTTTTTTTATCTACATT